ATGGGGCCAATTGCGATTGCTGCGTGGCCTCCGTTTCATTTTTATATATATAGGTATGTGCCTAGGTATATAATTTTTGTTTGTTGGTACGCCCGAATGGCGTTACACGCACACATGGACACATGGATACACACGCACTACACCCAGAAAACAAAATGGACTAAAAAGGGGCCTAATTACCTAAAATTTTAGGAAATATGGCCAGAAAAACGCGCCAAGGCCATGCATTACCTAAAATGTTGTCCATGTGGACTATATTTTGTACGCAGTCTTGAATTTATTTCTGGTAATGGTTACCTAAAAAAATGGCTAGTGGACTAGATTTTTAGGTCAGAATTACCTAAATATTAGGTATTTAAAAAAAAGCTAGGATTTTTACTATTGATAGTAACATATTTGATTATTTTAATTGCTTATATTGTATTATTCGGAAAAGCAAATATTTTATCTTTCTGAAAAAACAATCACTTTATTTTGTCCTCGGTGGGAATCGATCCCGGGTCTTCTGCGCGAGAGTCCAATAGGCTAGCCTCTGGTCTACGGAACTACTTAAAGGCCCTGCGGCAAAACCAAAGCCTGCTTCAAGGGGCTCAGGCGAATTCTATTTTTAGAATAGGGCACTATTACCTTAAAAGTAGGAAAATAGTCCACGTAGGTATTGATTTTAAATATTGAAACTTTTCCATCACTAGCTTTAAGAAAAGTCTAATAAATTTTTTAACATTAAACTTAAAAAACCGAATAATTTGTTTATTAATATTAGGGACCAATATTTGTATTAAGTTGTGAGTGATAATCGACTTTAAATTATTCCTAAATTTTAGGTCTTATGGACCAATTTGAAGGTTACGATGGCCTATAAAAATCTCTTTAGCTTTACCTAAAAAGTAGGAACATAGTCCACATGCTAATATTTTTAGGTAACCCATTACCTAAATCTGAAATTTTAGTCTATTTAAATTTTTTAGGTCATACGTTACCTAAAAAATAGTCCCACATTTCTCTGGGTGTAGCAATGTAACTTCAACCTTCAATTGTTGTTGGCGGTTGTCACGAAACGTTATTCGTGCGGCGGCCATGCGAGTTCACTGCCTCCCCGCACTGCTTTTGGTGCTTTTCACATACAGTAAGCCCCCGAAATGGTGAAAGAAAATGGCCAGAAGCAATAACCATAACTAACCACTATAAACAAAATCAAAAAATCAACATTTTTACGTTTCAAAATCAGCAAAATTATATTAAATAATTTTTTAATGTAAGAAATGGTTTGTAAAAAAATATTATTTTGGTTGTCTATTTGCATATAATATTTTCTAAAAGTTTAGGAAATTCTAAATAGGAATCAAACCCAACAAATATTATTGCAGGAACGTTTTGATATTCTTGTATTTATTATATTTTTTTCACAGCTCCCAATATTAACTTTCAAGCTTAAAAACTATTTGATAAACAAACAAAACAAATATATAACAAATTCCTTCTCGTCTGATTTGACTGTACAAAAGCACATTGTATAATGTTGTTGGCCATTTACCGTTCGCTTTGTTTTTATTGCTCTTCGCCGCATTCGTGGCTATAACAAATAACAACAGCTACAATCACAGTGGGCTCCTCACCATGGCGGCCATATTAACATGGCTTAGAGTACAGTTTGCACCTGCAGCTAGCAAGGGACTGAAAGACAGAAAAGACAGAAAATATCGTTAACTGCTCACAAGTTTAACGACAGAGAATCTATTGTCGAGTACTGCACGTGATTGAATCGAATCGGAGGAGGAAAACACAGAAAAATTGCGTTGGCTTTTTTCGGGGGGCAAATTAGAAAACCCGCTCACGATCAAAGCCAACTACAAGAACACAACAGGCAACAAGCTAAAAACCACAGCTGGGGCGATGCGGAGAATTATAGTAAAAATTTCCAAGCTGGGCCTGCTAATTGGTCAAGTCAATAATAACAATATGAATTTTTTCCACATTTTTTTTTCGGCAATTTGTCGGCTGTCAACAGTCAATCATATCGGCAAATATTTATGGTCGGCTTCTTTTTATTTCGAGTTTTATGAACAATAAATATTTTGCATTCCTTTTAATTTGTTCAACTTCTTGTAATGCGCGCTACCTTTAAATATAGTAATCAACAAGAGGAAAACCAAAGCTGAAAAAAAAGAGAGAAGCTTCCATTGCTGTTTAATTGCCAAAGCACATGCGAGTGTAGGAGGAGGAGGGGGAGGAAACCATCGTGGTGAGAAAACCCATCAACTTGGCTAGCTGACATGCAATTATAATCTATATATATAGGATTAAACCAAAACAATGCGGAGCTCACACAATAAATTCATTAGTTATTGTCTAATTGGCGCATATAACGAAGGCAATTTCGAATGCTCAATGGGCATGGGGGAATTACTTTTGGGCAGACATATAGAGATCCTATATATAGAGCAGGTTGAAGGAACTTTCAATCGAAGATTAAGACATCTCCTAGCGTTTTCTTCCTTTACTTTAATATCTTTTCCTTGATTTTGTAAATGTTACCCACTTAATTGATTCATTACTTCCTTTGGCTAGCCCTATTTTTTTCTCTCTTCATTCCATGACAATAACCCACACTCGGCAATTAATTTGGTCTGAGCTTGTTGCCATTTAACGATCGTCATTAAAATGAAGGAGGCTTCCTCTATAAGGTGCTGGGTATTCCCGCTCTATTCCAACAACAAATTTTAACGATCGCCATCAAGCTCACAACATTTGACGCTGATTTGCTGATTAGGCTCAGATCATGAAATTAAACAGGCTGATAGAGAAATAAGTCGGCAGTCCGAAAGTCTTATCCCAGAAGATTTCACCTCGATAAGATTTTATTGCCAACCCCATTTTCTGCTCTTCCCAAGTGTTAATCTCCTGCCTAATGTGCGAAAAGTGTGCAAACATTGTAGATTGTACGAGTATGAGTTTTATTTTCAATTGCCGCGGCTTTGGCTTAATTTTTAATGATTTCCCTCCCACCGATTAATATTCATGAACTTCTCCAGTGTGGCTCTCATGGATCAGAGAATTTTTATGAACATCTTCTTGCCTTTTTTTTACCTTTTTGTGGCGTTGGCAAAGGGCGTCACTCGCTTAGAAGTCAATTAAAAAGCGGAAGTTTTTCGTGTCTCACTCGCGATAGCGAATGTCCACGCCCTTGACAGACATTCCAGCTGCATAAATCAGAGCTGCGCGATTCCAAGCTGGGCTAATAACAGCAATTGTTGTCAATTTGCCACAAAAGCAGGCGCGAAAAATGCAGACATAATTCTGTTGTCGTTGCTGTCGTTGTTGAGCTTCGAACACACCCTGACAATTGGCTGAATTTAAATTGTTTATAAAAATAGAATATGTCCCAAAACACGCGTCACACTCTCGCACACACAGCCGAAAAATGCAGCTCACCCTGGCTGGCTGGCAAGTTCGTGCCTTAAGTCTTTCGTTTTGGCCACGGCGACAATGAAAGCCTAGGATAGCCGCCTGCATTTTCGGTTCCGTCGCTGTCTCGCCATGAGCATGCAAAATGCCATTAACAATTTGCGCACATAATGCCAAGGCAGCAGCAAAAAAAATTAAATCTGTTCCACGCACAACACAAAAGACCAAAAATACAGCAAAAAAAAAAAAACGCCATAAAAAACTGTCTACAAGAGTTTTGAATTTATTTATGTCAGCAATTATTTTATTTATATTGTCACTGCACACAAGCACACACCGTCGCTTTGCATTGTCCGCTTCGCCATTCTGATTTCGTAGTCAAAATATGTTTGCAGCTTATGATATGCTACCCGTTTTCAGACTTTCGGCCGCTTCTGCTGCGGTTGTCTTTGGGCTACTGTTTTTGTGTTGACAACCACGGACGCAAATCCAGTGAACAGATGCAGAAACACACGATTAAGGCACGTAGATCACTTGAAGAGAGCGAAGGAGGCTTGTTTGGTTATATGAATAGATTTCAAGGAATTATGTAGACACTATAAATTTCAATTAGCACTTAGAATGGATAATACAAATTTAACTAACATTCAATTTAAATGTGCAATTTTTGTAAAACTTACTGTAAAACTTACAAAGAAAGTTTTAATGTGACATTTTACTTTAAAAAAAGCTAAAAACATTTTACAAATTAACTTCAGTTATCCTACTATTATTATAATATTATAATTATTTTTATTCTGTTTTTGTTTGTTATATTTTCCAAAAAAAATTCATGGCTAAATTTAATTAAAAATTTTGAAAATTATTTTACTTTAATAATAGCGGAAGGTGCAAGCTTTCTAAGGAAACTTTTTTTCTTTAAAAATTCTTTATATGCCCTTGCTGCCACCTTCTCAGAACGTAAAATCCAAAAGAAATTCAAAGACGTCAGCAAAGGCGAAGCAACACCAAATAATGCCATCCCTCCACCGCCGCCTCGATTCCTGGGACCAAGAAGCAACAACAGTAGCCCCCATCACACGGCAGTCCGTCAATTGTCAGCAACAAATAAATTTTTGAAGCGAAAAACCAAAAAAAATAAACACAAAATACAAAACCAAACTAAAACGCAACCACAAAAATCGCATTTCAAATTCAAAACGCGATTTTTGCCGAGGTTAAACTATTTTATCATTGTCACAAACGGAATTTTTCACCAGCGTTTCGGATCGTTTCGAACGCCTGTTCCTCGCCCTTGCTGCCACGCCCACCGACCCTCTTTCACCGCAGCCCCCATTATTGTGCCAGTGCGTGCGAAAACGCAGCAAAAATAAAAAAATATATTTAAGAGAAGAAAAAAATCCACTGATTGTACGTTTTAGGGCGTTTTCTGGCCACGGTTTTCATTCTTTTCTTGGCCGTCTTTTATTTTCCTTTTGGCCTCCTCATAAGTTTTGCGTATGCGGGGGGCTGGAACTTGGTTTATATCTCTTCATTTGAGCGGACCGGCCAGTTATTTATTGTATTTTATGTGCCACGGCTGTTGTTGTTGCTGTTTAATTGAAGGCCAAGAGCTGCCGCATTGCTGCATGCATGGCAAACATGTCCTGGTTGCTTTTGCTGTTGCTGCTGCTGTTGCAGTTGCTGCTGCGATTGCTGTTGTCGCCGCCGCCTTGCAGCTGATGGCCACTGGCCAGACATGCCCTTATTTGCGCTGCCAGCCAAAACGTCCAGTGCATAAATTATATATGCCAACAGCACAAATTTTTGCTAAATACCCTTGATATTTGGTTACGGCTACATTGCAAGGGCTTTTAAAAGAAATAATCTGTTTTCAAAATCAATTTTGAAGCTTTTAAATATTGCATTATCTATGAGTGACTTTTCCCAATGAGTTAATCTAACCAATTCATTTTATAGATCTGAAATATTTTTAAAATATAGAATTCTTCTTATTTATTTACCTATAAATTTAAAAGTATTTTTGAAGCGTTTAAATTAATACATTGTCATAGTTCAATTGTTTAATCTTTAAATATTTTTTAAATATTAACTGTTGCCTCTTAAATTCCAACCTTCCGAAACTTGGTAAAAAACATATATTTTTACGGAAGCGGATAAATCAAATTTTACATTTTGCCCTCCAAAGCTGAATTGAATGCGCAGACTACCTGCCGAGTGTTTCATGTTTATTAAATGGGATCTCTATTCAGCGAATCTGTTTCACTGGATGCAAAATAATCGAAATCGACGACAAGGGCATTCCTGCTTCGGTACCTTGATCAAAAAAGCCTTCTCCCACCGACGAAGCAACTTTTCATTTTGGCATTGGCTGTTTTTTGATTTGGGCCTGACTGACTGACAGTATTTTTTTCTGTTTTCTTTTGTATGTAAGCGCGATACAAAAACAATTTTGTTTCTACATATTTTATATATATATCAGTAGTACTGAAAAGAAGGGGAAAAGAGTAAGGACTTGCGCAACTTGGGGCGAACCACTTAGAATATTGTAGCAATTGTATTTGACATCCATAAAACATGCGATCGATTGGCCTCTTTAGGCGGCGGGTAGCTCGCAGATCATGCAAATCGCTTGGGCCGAGATCGAGATCAATTATAAATGCAACAGCCGCCGATGATAAACATAACTCGGACCCGGCGGTGCCAAATACAGTGGAGATCCCCAAAGACAGACTATGGGGTATATATATCGATAAGAATCTGGGGTCTGGCCCCGCCAGTTTATATAAGCAGCCAGCATCCGTAGAACGCGATCGAAGTGACAGACATCGATCAACGGGGCGACCAGCGACATTAACGCTGCATAAATTGTCATAAATTACATCAAACAGCGAGACTGCGAGCTGAGATAGAAACTGAAACCCAAGCCCAATCCCAATACCAATCTCAGACCCAATCCCAAATCCCAGGCCCGAAACTCCACGCATTGTGTGGGTATGATCGTAACAGAGATATGCGCTGCTCCGCTGTTTTGTAATGCGATAAAACCCGAAAAAGTCAGCATTTAAACCAAAAAGAGTTTTTTTTTTCGCCACTCCGTCTGATAGAACACCCCAAAGACAGATCCAACACATCGGGCACATCCCAGAGCGCTAACCAGATACGCATCATCGTTTGGCTAAATGCTTACCCAGTTTGGCCTTATCCTTACCTTTACCCCCTCGGAATTCCCTGCTCGAAACGTAGATCGATATGTTAAAAATCGCGATTAAATGCGTCGAGCCAAGACATTGTGACAAAAACTTTGATTGACACGGCCTTTGTGTCGGAATTGGATTGTTGGGGAAGAACAGAGAGTGATAAAAGGACTGGTGGGAGTTCTCGAATGGCTATTGTAAGGGAAAGGATCCTTAAGGATGATGGAAAGACACGAGAGAGTGTCTTCCAAGGTTAACGAACTTAAATTCTAGAGGAAAAGATTATTTGAATAATATTCCTGAATGAATAAATATCCAAAAAAAATTCAAATTCAAAATAAGAACACATTCTCTTTTACCAGTTAAGTAATAAAGTTAATCAGGTTACTGGTAAAGTGGTATATGTACAAATTAGTACATGTTTAACATTATTATACATTTATTTTAAGACTAACCCAAAATGGAATAATCTTCTCGTTATTATGTCCAAATATTTTAATAAAAACAATTCACTGGGCTAAATTTTTTAGTATGGTAAACGATTAAAAACATTCAACCTGTACCGTAAATTTAGCTTAGATTAAAATAAAATAAAAATACATCAAGCTTTTAAATTCAAACGATAAATAAGCTTTTACTGATTTCTACGATTAATGCAGACATTATCCTTCCTTAAATATATATGTTCGTATTGCCGAGAAAAAATCCCAAAAAAACCGACGGTTGCCTTGACCATTGAATCCGTTTTTATAACCAAATCTAAGCGCAGCCTAAAATGGAATAATCGCATCATAAACGCTTCATAAACATGTGCAGAGATATTTGAATTGTAATGCAAATGACACAAAACCCAAAACGCGCAGCGAGGAAAATCAAAATCAAGTCGAGAAACAAAAGCGGACTTGGCAGGCAACAGGCATAAAAGTCGTGATACTAACAAATTTCATTAATGTACAACAGCGGCAACAAGTTGCAGGCAGGCAAAGTCGCTCGATGATCCGATCCTCCTCATCCGAATTCGCATCCCAATACCGAACCCCATCCTCATCCTCGACTTAAATCTGCAGGCGATTCCATTCATAAAACGAAGCGTACTCAGAGGTCCGCAGACAGACAACAAACACTAAGCGCATTGCATGATTTTGCATAATTTTATGCAAATTTACGCTGCGAGACGATCGGCAGAGGCAGTCTGTTTTTTTTTTCGTCTTTTGAGCGGGCGTTGGGGCGTGGCAATCGCCATGTCTACGACGACATGATATATGCCACATGATGTGGCCCACGATGCGGCGAACAGTAGCAATTGCTTTTGTTGTACAAGGACACGATTATGGACCGTCCAGGATACGAATTCAGTTGGGTTTTTTTCGGGTTCTTAGGTTTTCAAAAGCTACGACTTCACACAATTTATGCAAAGTGCAAAACGTGGCAGCCAAAAGTAGATTTCTGCATTTTTCTTTTGTCTTTTGCGTTTCGGTTTTCTTTATAAATAATTTTTTGGCTAAAAGAGCGAGGAAAAAATCAGTGACCGTTTCAAGGCAAATGCGAAACATAGAGATGACAATGAAACTCAATTTATGGCTCAAAAAAATATTGTTTAAAGCATAACCACTAAAGGAAGTGTTCTTTTGCAGAGACAGAAGATTTGAAGTTCTCGGTAAAAGAAGCCACCAACCCCCACACAAAAATTTAAGCCAGTAGCACAGTGGAGCAGGAAAATACGGGTTAAATTTTATTTCGGTTAAAAATACAAATCCGACTATTTAAAATATTTACATATATATTTATAAATTTCATAATCTTCTGTAAATTTACATGTAATAACCATTTTCCAAGACTTTTGTGAAGGTAAGTTTGTTAGATTTGGTTATCTTTTCTTTTAAACAGTTTTTTAATGTCGTTAAAAAAGTATATTTTTATAATGATTGTTCTTATTGAAGATTAAAATTATTAAATTTATTAAAAATCCTGATAATTTGTTTCAAAATTAATGTCAAAGCAATTTAATTATTTTAAAAAAATGTATGTAATTTTCCAAAAGTCTTTTGAGGTCCTTTAATCTAGTTATACATTATGTTAAACAGTTTTCTAATGATTTTTTAAAGATAATTTATATAATAAATAACACAATAAATAAAACTCTTATTTATATGTTTTTTCGTATGAAAAATTAAATTAGTTTATCCTGTATGATTTTGGATATCGAACACCACTGTACATAATGGAGGATCCCTCGTTGTCTGTTCCTGCGAATTGTGCTTGCAGCGCTGCCTCCGGTGGTTCGGTGGCTCACTGGCTGCAGCGGTGGTGCCGTTGTGGTGCAGTGGTTGTGTGGAGGCCGCCCGTCAGCCGACGTCAAGTTGAAGCGATGGACGGACGAACGAGGACGAGCTGCCTCCTGCCTTCTCTAATCAGATTCAGATGTCGTCGAAAAATGCGCGACGCGCTGGCCATTTTAGCCAGCATCGCGTAACACGGTAGTTGGGCCAACTTAGGGCTTCTTAGCCTGCCCTCCGCTTCAGATTCTGTTTCAGTTTCAGTTTCTGTCTCTGTCTGCGATTCTGATTCCAGTGGCATGCAGCTGAAGCCGAGGAAGAATCTGAAGAAGAATGACGAAGTCATAGCCGAGATGCGTCAATTTTAGATTCAACAAAAATGATTGCAATGCATGTTGGGTCCGGATTCCGTCCAGGATGGATTGGGGATTGAGGAGTAAAGACGAGCAGGCAACCAGTTTGGTGGCACAGACGACCGGCCGTCTGTCAGGGGCAACTTGTGAAATGCCAATTTATTCGTTAGCAAATATTGCATCTGATAGAACGGACCCCGAAGTCTGGGTCTTGGTGAACCCGAACCCGAACCCGAACTTCGATTTCGAGTGGCAGTGCAACATATGCAGACATGACTGCCAGGATCTCGGGACTCACGGGTCTTCTTGGCTACTGAATCATGTGTAAAAATCTTAAGTGCAAACAATTGTACGCGTTTATCGTGTCTCTGGGGCGACGACCACCATTGAAGCCTCAACGGAGGAGAGAGATGCCTTTGGAGAACACAGAGTCGAACAGAAAGGGCAGTGGAAAAGCAGATTCTTCGGGGCAGACAGCTTCGCCCAGGAAGAGATTCCGTTTAATTAAGCTCGCTGATTCTTTTGGTTTTCTTGTTTTATATTTTTTTGATTTTTCGTATTTTAGTAAAAATTGGTTTAAGCATTTTTTGGAAAGCCCTTAAGGTGGTACATCGATCCGATCGATCGGCAGACTTTTGCCAAAAATATCCATCAAATTGATCAATGCTCATAAATCAAATGCGGAGATGCCATGGAGACGAGTATTATAAGAGTTTGACTCGCTTTTACTGGAAATTGCCCGCAAGAGGGCCTGGCTGGCCGAAATTAGTTTTGCCCTTGCCTTTTTCGTTTGCCTGATGCGTCCGTTATGACGACGCACGCTGACCCAATAATTATGCTCCCTCCCTCCTCAATCCACACCTAACCATCACTGCCATCGAGCCATTCTACCATCCGTCCATCCTCTCGAGAAATTGAGAGTGAAACGCAAGCGCAGACATTCTATCCGATACATTTATTTTCTTATTTTCGGAGAGCCCGCGGCGAGCTAAACATTTTTGCTTATCAGTTAGTTATAGCCTAAGGTTTTCCATGTTACGGATACTCTTCAAATGGCATTTCGAGCTTTACAATTTATTGAGGATTGGTAAGACATTTTGTAATGCGAAAAAAATCTTATAAATTTAATTAGACAAAAAAAAATTTTTCTTAAATGCCAAATTATATAATTTAATAACAAAAAAATACATTAAAATCCATACAAAATTGAATGTAAGAATGATTTAAACAAAAAAAGTTAATTAAAAAAAAAATTAATCATCATAAAAACTGAAAAACATTATTAAAACCTTTCGGAAACAAAATCTATTAAGGAATCTTAATATCCTAAAACATTTTATAACTTAAACAATATCTTAGGATTTTTTCCATTCTTTAACCATAAATTGAACCAAGTTTTTAGGGTATCTACCGTTTTACCTTTAAAACTAAACAGCCCAGCTAACAATTCTGTTTTAACTAATGTTCCAAATGATTGGCTAAAATATAATTTTGTGATTGCTGGCTATATAGCACGCGTCACACACGCAGATAAAATTATAAAGCTGGGATCTGGGGAGAAGATATGGGAGAAGATCGGGCCGCGGGCAAATGTCACACCACGCGATAAGCAGGGGGTTTCACTTTGTCTAGACATCTTCTACACTCAAAAAAAAATTTTAGAAAATCGCCTATGGATTTGCTTTACTGGCGATTTTTTTCTATATTTCTGGAATATTTCTTGAATTTAATGAATTTTGATTAATTGGAAGAAAATTTTCTTTACCAGTAGAAAATTTTTTTATTTTAAAGAAAAAAATCGCCAGTGAAGCAAATCCATAGGCGATTTTCTAAAATTCAGGGCGATTCATTTTCTGAGTGTAGAGGCTTGGGATTAGAGGGGCCTCGGATTTGGTATTAGAAATTTGGGATCTTGGACTTTTTGATTTTTGATTTCGGTTTCAGCTTGACCGGGCTAATCAATTTTAAATGTGTTTTTGCGTGTCAATCGCTTGTTTGCGTGTGCGACTTTTATTGATATGCTTTTTGGTCTTTTGATTGTTGCCAAGGCATCTTGGTTAATAATTATTGCCTGACTTGCCTTGAAGTCACTCCACCTCCTCCTCCTTTGATAGTTTCTCGATTGTTTTTCTGAGTGAAATTCATTTGATTTATTGCACAAATTATGGAGACAGCGAGTGGCTGTCGTTTCAGCCAGGTCTATTGGCCATTATGCAAGACAACAACCTGAAGCGGTGGCAAGCGACAACTATAACTATGTAAGCACTGAAAAAAACGTAGTAAGTAAAGATTTCATATTTAATTTTAATATTTTTCGCCATGAAAATATCCAATTATTGTAAAATTCAAATTTATTAACTTTGACTTTAATTTGATATTCTTCTTTTTAATCATGTTAAATATTTAATGTAAATATGACTGACATTTTATTTACTATTTTCTACCTTGATTCAGATATTTTCAAACTAAATCATAAATTTAATATGTTTTATAATAAACATAAATTTTTTTTATTTGGTGGAAATATTTTAACCATTCCTTTTTTTCTGTGTAGGTATAACCACGTTGAGAGGAGCCAGCTAGCTTTACACTTGTCTCTTTGGCGCATTTTTACAAATTTGGCACGCCTGGCCATAAAAATTGGTTCGAATAAAAAAGTGTGAAACTGCAAATGGCGTCGCCTTGGTTAGACGAGTTCTTGACTCGATTTGGCATACCAGCGATTAGCATAGTTGCTGCCTAGTTGCCAGATATATATATTCTCTATATATACCAGCAACCTATCTAACGATAGATATATCAACGGCAATTGGGGCGGCCCAGGGGGGCGTGGCACTGCCGCACGCGTTGCAACGGAAGTCCAGCTCATTTGGCCAGCGCAAAGGAATTGAAAGGAAATGCGGCGCGAGCGGAAGGGATTTCTTTTTTAAACGCATCCTGGACACACGTTCGAGGACAACTTCATTGATATATGGTTTGTTTTTCCTCCTTTTTTTAGACCCATCCAAACTTCCTGTGTGCGCGGGTCTTTTGTTTGCCAGCAAACGGCCACCGAAAAAGAGTGTAATAAATATTCCCGAATTTTATTCCGGCGATTGGGGGTTCGTTTTATGAACTTGTCTAACCATTTTCGAGCTAGCCCAGCTACCAGCCATAAAAATATATAAGAAGTATTTTCAATAATTAAAAACGAGTTGCTTTTTATCGATTTGAAGCCCCCTCCCAACAAATAATAAATAAGAGCAATAAAACCCTACAAGGAAAGTCAAAAGTTGTAAAATATTATTAACCAGGTCTTTTGATTCGTTGAGAGCCCCACGCAGTGCCACCCATGGAATAAAGAAAAAAAGTCCGTAAAATTCCATTGATTGGTTAATTTCTTTCATAGTTTCCTCGGTTTTTATGGGGCCACGAAATGTCTTTTGTGGAATATGCTCCTTCAATGGCGAGTCGAATATGTTGACAATAAACAAAAGATTGCGAGTGAAGTGGATGACTGTTGAAAGTTTGATGAAGTGAGATCGTATCGCCCGATATCGAAGTGGTATTGCTCATATGGCGAGAGAGCTGGGCCATTAAACACCAATTTGTAGGCAATCGTTAAGTCGTAAGAGGATAAATCAGAGAGGGAATCGCATGAAATTGTTCTATGAATATGTGATTTGATGATGATTTGTTTAGAAACTTCCGTTGATGGGAAATTTGTTGTTTATTTCGTTTTTATGATGATACATTTAATAATAGCAAATTTTTGATTTAGTAGCCAATTTAATAGAGTATTTTGTGAAAAAAAAAGGTAAAAATAATTGGATAAACAATTACAGCGTTTTCTAAAATATTCTCCACGTTATGTTTTAATTTTCTCAAGGGTACCTCAAAACACATAGATTTCGGGAGCAGAATATTGTTTTCGTCGAAGACTTCATAAATGGTCACGGCCTTATAGCGTCCATTTACACCCAAAAAAAAAATCGACTGAAATCGCCCTTGGTTTTAGAAAATCGCCTATGAATTTGCTTTACTGGCGATTTTGTCTATATTAAAGAAAGTAGGTTTTTAAAATCAAAGACGTTTTTTCTAAAAATCAAAAAAAATAGACTGCAATTTAGAAATATTTTGCTAGAAAGTAAAAAATTATTTCTTAGAATTTAGAAATAAAGGTTTTCTAAAAAATAGAATTACGGTTTTTTTTAAATATAGACAAATATTTTTTAAATAATAAAAAAAAATTTTCTCAAATTCAGAAAATACAAAAATCTATTTTTGGGCTTCGGAATTATACCCGGTTGTTTCTGTGACGCCACGGCCTTTGTGTTGTTTTTTTTTTCGTTCTTGTTTGTCACCTTATTTTAATTTCCTTTAATTGAGCACATGGGTGGTTTCAAATTGGAACTGAAATGAGTGTACAAATTACAAATTATAAATATAAAAACCCAATAACTTACTATTTTGAGAAAAACATCTTGGTCGCCTCACGCGGGATTCGAACCGCTAACCGCTCGCGCCTCACAGTTTGCAGTCAAGCACTCTACTAGCTACGCCACGGAAGCATCACGTGAGGCGCTGTACAAAGTCTATTCACATTTTGTTCTCCTATTTTTACTCAAATTGATGTGGCTTTCTTCTGGTTATTCCTTTTAGTTTATCATTTAATTTTACTTTTAAATATTTATTGATTAATATTAATATTTATATATTTATTATTTATCATGGTTCAATAGTAACAGTAATTGAATGTTTCAAATTTGAAAAACTTAAACAAAATGCAATACATTTTTTTTATTAATATGTAACTATTAGTGTTAAAAAAAAACAAAAAGACACCACGAGTTTTTCGTCTCGACGCGGGTTTGAACTCACTCTTGCAGCCGCAAGCTTGAATAACATATGCATGCACGCACGCGTTAGACCCCTAGGCTACCAATCCCGGAAATTTTCTTCGATTAATAGCGATTTTTTCTTAGGCTAAAAAAAACTTTTCTAAAAAGTCTATAAGAAAGGAAATCGATCAAATACGGTTAAATTTTTTATTTTCTAGAAAAATATTTCTTAATATCCCACATTTTTTTCAAAATGTTAGAAAAATCTTCAAAAAATTTTTCTGTTATTAGAAAAACAATATTTCTATTATGTAGAAATATTTATAATTTTAATGGCAATTTTTTTTTAGTTTTAGAAAAGTTCAGTCTTTTTTTTCTAAAATCAATGGCGATTTTAACCCTCAAAAAAAGAAAGGATGATTAGAAAAATAACCCTTATAATTTAGAAAAAAATTGATTTTTCTGTATTTTAGAAAATATTTTCTAAAAAAACTCGTTCAATTCAGAATTTTTTTGAAGATTAGAAAATTTTTCTGAAGATTAGAAAATTTTTCCTCTTTTTAGAATATTTTTTTGAAGCACAGAAAAATTTTTTTTTTCTATATTTAAGAAAAAATAATTTTTTGAGTGTAGAACTACGCCACGAATATTGTTCAGTTGTAGTTTCATAATGAATGGATTAAACACTATAACGGTCTGAATATTAAAAGCAATCCTATAGAGATGCTAAAGATACTACAAAAATGGTTTCACTCACATCTTTAACTTTTAGGCATTTTTCTTCAATCTCCTTGCGGTTACGCACATGTTTCCACCAGTACTTGGAATAGTATTGTTTCTCGTCAAACATCACGCGACAGAAGTCGGCAGTGAGCATGTTATAAATTGTCGGTTCCCAAAAACCTCGGTTAAACTTCATCACACTGAAACTTGACTAAAGTTTCCCTCGGTTTTAGTCTTTTAGTTATCATTTCATTTGCACATTTTAGAGTGGACTTACGGAAATTCGATAGGTGGGAGGGAAATCCCATTTAACGGTGCCATTTCCCGAAACATGGATGCCATCTTCGTCCAGATCGAAAACCATATTATCTAGGTTAAAGACGTCATGGATGAAAGTCGAACCTGGTGGCCCGTCCTTGCATGGAGTGTAGATGTACGGATCCTCAATTACCAAGTTGTAGTCGGTGGCCCAAATGTTGGTTACCACAACGAAAACTACCAGAGTTTGAAACATTTTCGCCTATTTGGAGATAATTTTCCGGCTTTATATAGCCACTGGCAACACGCGGTGTTAATAATGGGTCAACCCAATTGCTGTTCGCAAAAAGATGATCTTTACATGCTATTATTACACTTTTAAACTTACATGTCAAGCCAACACCTGTTAACGAGGTAATAATGACGTGACGATCGCATCTTCAACATTCGAAATGTGGATTTCACATTTTTTAATAGAAAATCAAACCGCAACTGATTAACAAACACAATATTTTCTTAAATGTGTTCTCTGAAATTTTTCAAAATTAATTAATTTTTAATCGGTTTGGAAATTTTTTTATCGTTCGACGTGTAATGCGTATCGTCACTATGCGGCAGTGATTAGCTACAATAATATGTAATTAAAAAAGAAAAGTTAAACCTATACTGATTTGAAAAAATATGCTTGCGATCGAGATAAAATTAATCACTTTCAAATATAAAATTCCAACACCTTTTATTAACCACTAACTGTAAAAATGTCCCCTCACGTTTCCCAAGTCAGTATAATTTTAAACCCGCTACCGCTACGTGATTCAAATATCCGGGTCCCGGTCACGCGCATCCTTAACACTTCTTCCCGAACAACAGTCCGAAACAGGAAGATAATTTTCCACACCTCTTGGATCGCTTCCAGGGAAAACGGAAGTCATCTTCCAGTCAATCTTGTAGTGTGGCCACAACAGATAGTCTTGGGCTAATAAAGATCTTCACTTTTTAACACCACACGTAGTCCTTGGAAATTTTCTGGCTAATTGAGTTATGGGCCAAAACAAGGCAGCACCCAAGAGATCGATTACGATCGATACCCGAAAACAATATTATTTACAATATTTCTAGGTAAACACGGAGAGTTTTGCACGTGTGTAACAGGTAAATTCTGGTGAAATCTGTCTGGAAAGCAGAGAGAGAGAGTGAAAGTGTGCCCAGCAGGAGGATCGTTATCCTGGGCATCGTCCTTATCCTTCCAACGGGATAAGACTTCTACAGGTGGCGCCTAACGGTGCTGCGAGTCATAATATCCCTTGTTTATTTGTACTACATGGGTGTGTGAAATGTTTCGAACATAAAGGTGTCCTTTGAGATTTTATTTAAGGGACAATTAGATAAAGAAAGTTGCAATAGAGCAATGGAATAAATAAAATGTACCAAATCTTTTCATACAAAATATAATAATAAATTCGTAACTAATAAAGTCTTAAGAAAGTTTGGTTTTAATTCGCTGATCCACTGCACAAATTAAAATCATTTCCAAGGAACAGTTCTAAAAATATTCGCAAAAATCGAGATTTTTTGCCCTTCTAAGTGCGATAAATCTAAAAATGTAAAATGTATAAATGCAAATAGCTTAATGAAGGAAAGTTTATTAACTAATCACTTGATAATTTATTGCTATATCTTGATTCTAACGACAATGTTTCATTTTTAGGATTTTACAGAGTCCAAACCCCAGTCATTTGCATATTTACTCGCCCAAGGGGAATCACACTCTTTAGCAGATCAACTTCTCAGTGTGTAATTGAAAAATTGCGGCTTTTCCAACTGCATTTCATTTTCTAACTTGTAGACAAAAAAATCTCAGCTGCAGCCAATGAAGTCTGCTACTTTTTTTTTCTGGAAGAACAGAAACTATTCCTTCGTTCGGGAGGGCGACTCAATTATGAGGAATGGTTTTTGGTTTCGGGCTCCTTAGCCCGAGCACTGCCGCAAACATTCGCATCAATTATGCATACGCCAACGCACACAAAGGACTCTCTGGCAGCGGCAGCTCCTGAAATCCTTGCTAACTTGGCCCAGCCCAGTTTACCGCATGGCAAATTCGACGAATTTCCTGCGGTTTTCAAGCATTTCACTTGCTTGCCCCCTGAAATGCAAAGGGTGGTGAGTTCTCCTCCTTCCCAACCGCAACAGCATTGGTCAAATTCAATTTATTGTAAATGTGCAAAAGGATTTGTTGCGGGCCTGAAAACCGAAAACCGAGCGAGAATGCAGCTGTACTCGAGGCAAAATAAAAGGGGAACAGTTGTCTTCTCGTTAACATGGCACATCCGCATGTCAAAAATGTCGCACAAAAATCAATCGGCCGGCCGGCGATCCACTGGGGTCCACTGGGGGTCCAAAAGGGAGGGTCAGACGTACCAGGAACCCTGGATCAAAATGGAAAAAAAAAGAAACTAAACAGAAATAAAAACAAAAACCCAAAGGCAAACCCAAGCCAAAACCCCGAGCCAACTGAAAAGCAAATTAGCAATTCCGATGCGACCATTTATATTGTTCATTCTCATTGTTGTTGACGATCAGACGATCGCGTTTTTATTTTTATTTCATTTTCTATTTCCCTTTGAAGTGTGTGTGTTTGTGGGTAAAGTAACAAAAAGCTCGCTGGTTTTTTAAATTATTCCGCCGTGTAGTTTGGAAGCGATCGACAAACGGATTTTGCTGTTATCAAGTCCCGAACCAAATGCAAATTAGACGCACAAAAGTCAACCGAGTGGTGAAATGGAAGGGGGCAATGGAGGGGGTAATATCTGACTAAAACCGACTAAAACGACATTTTCACTTACCTCGCACATTTGTCAGGCGAAATAACAAAAAAACGAATAAGAAGTTAAAGAGCCATTTATGCTCCAAATGTCGGCAATCAATAATACTTGGAAATATTTCAGTCATGCAAACTTCGTACCCCCGAAAAACCACAAAAATGTTTGCGTGTTTTGCATTTCTTATATATTATATATGGGGCTTGTCATTAGGAGAAAAATTGTTATATTTATTTTAATTTGGGTGAGTTTGTTTATCGGCCATAGGTTTCGGTTTGGACAGGGCCAGAACGGTGCTTCTTTGTAAATATATTATCCGGCAATTTAAGTCCGTTTTGTAGCGCAATTTATTCACAGAGCTCCTGCCATTAATCAATATTAATTGACATAAGAATTAATAATTTAAATTGATTTCGGTGAAAAGTAATCTATTGGTAGTAATACTTTTTTTAACCAAATCATACTAAATTTTTTAACAATGAAAAAATCTTTTTCCCAATAATGTTTCCCCCTGTTTAAATGTTTGGTAAGAATATTGTAATTTTCAACAAAAGACATGTCATTTAAATTGGCGTTTAAGTAAAATTTTTTTTATAATTACCTTTTTAAAAGCTATATAAAAAACATAAAAAAAAATTTGAATTCATTTATAAATTCAATCAAAATATTTTAAACAAAAATGCGTATTCCATACTTGATTTATTTATAAATTCCATTATTTAAAATCAGGTTTTATTACCAATAATTTTAAAGTCCAAATAAATCTTATTAATAAAAAGCGGATTTAAAATAAGACAATAATACATTTAAATATTACTAATAAGATTTCAACAAATAAATTCATTGAACTTTAAAATATTCAAAACATTCTAAATTGGATTTATTTTAATTTTATCTAGGTTACACAATAATAATTTAGATTTTGCTGACATCTATTTTTACAGAATAACCAATAATTGTTTTATTTTCCTGTTGGCGCCACAGCCAACACATAAATAACTCATAAAAAAGTGCCCACAACAGCAGCCCGCAGAAAAATGAACAATTGTGTGTCTACCGAATGTTTTTTACGATCCCCTACCGTTAGGTACCCGAAGATCACTTTCCCTTCGACATCGGGTAATAAATTAATCAAATCTCGAACTGAACTCACTTTTTCCTGGGAAAACTGCAGCTCACACCTACACCGAGATTTCGGGAGGTACGAGGATCTGTAGTAAATGATTTGTTTGACAACAAACCAAGTTATTCTTTCCGAGGGACTTCGCAGAATCCGGGGCACTCGAATCTGGCATCTCGTATCTGTGCAAATGATCGGGAAATTGCCGGTCAAGATCTCAGTCGCCAGTTGAGTCGCCTGTGTGGCCATCATTAACCTTTAGCATTACTAAATGGTAGGAGGGCCCCTGCAAATGTCAAACGTCATGGCCACTTATCGAATGTTGATTCAATGTCCCATTGCCCCTGTGATCTTATTAGGCATTTTTCGGGTTTTCAAGGGGTTCGGACACAATTATCACCCCCGCACAAAGCGAAACGTCATCGTTGGCAGCCAAGTCATTGTAGTCCAGTCCCCCGAAATGTTTCTTAATGAATAAGCAAAGTAACACAAAAGATACAATGCGACTCGAGCTGGGAAAAAGGGGGTATTAACAAATGACAGCCATTCGATAGTCCTAGATATGGATATGCCTCGAAAACCTAATTAAATGACACGTTCCTGGGAAACTCGATTCAGGCGGGGCTACGTAAGTCAAAATGGTTTAACTGATTTAACTGATGGCAAAAGATTTAACTTCTGCGCTGATAAATTGTTCAAGAAACTCAAAGTCAGCTTGCTCATTTTAAGGAATTAGGAAGACTTTTTTTGTAAAACCCTCTTAAATGGATAATTTTTGTTATCCAACGGAAAAATAATAAAATAATTTATATTCTAAGGCTATTAATACATTACGTACATACAGTCTTTTTATAAAAATATTTTTTTTAAGTTTTTATTAAAACATAAATTAATTAAATTGTTAAATAAACAACCAAAAACAACAGCAAAGCGTATTTTTTCATGTTATCACATGTAACGGTTTTAAAGCAGTTTGTGTACTTAAAAAGTAAAGCAGTTGAAGAATAAAACTGCTTACATGTAAAATGTAGTTTAAAATGTAGAGGTAATGAAAAGGTTGCCATACTGTTTAAAAAAGAAAACATGACAGTAAAACCTTGAAAATATAGATAGATTCTTAACTTATTTAAAATAAGATTGGCAAAACCAAATATTTATTTAAACTGCCGTCACACTAAATAAACAAAATATTTATATTATAAACGGAAATTTCAGATCTTTTCTGATATTACCAGCAAATGAAAAATTTCTTTATGTATTTATCATTTTAAATATTATAAACAAAAATTGGAAGTTAAAATAAAGAAATATTTAGGAATCTTTATTTTTTTGCATAAAGCTTTAAAAATTTTAACCATTATATTTAGGGCATTCCATAAACTGCAAGCAATATTGTTTTGGGATTTTGTTTGGGATTTTTTTCAAATCAAAGAGAGCGTGAGCATTTTGACATTTTCCTAACGCGTATATTTTGCCTTAAAACGCCGAAACCCTACGAAAAGTTTATCCCTAATTTCACAGACGCTTCAACATTGAATTTGGGTTTTCCCTGAAAAAAGATTACGGAAGCGAATTACTTTCGCAATGTCGTCAAAATTAAATGATGCTCTTGAATTGCTGATAGAAAATCTATCCAAAAATCCTACACCAGAACAGCAGAAATACATGCAGGATGCAACCGACATATATGAGCAGATAAATCAGGGTTTCACAAAATCCGATTCCATTTTCAAGGGACTAATCAGTAATTGGGACGAGACATGTAAGTTTGAATGTAAAATATATGTGGCAATTATTTAATCCAAACTTTTATAGATTGCTTCTTCAATAATTCTTATCCAAAAATTGTGAGTGGCCTTCTGCAGATTAAAATGCCATTTAAGATTGTGTCTCAGCGAATTTACCTTCCTATTGAACAATACCATCAATTGGTTATTCTGAAAACGACGGCTAATCACCCAGGCGTTGTGAATGGATATTTGAGCGGGGAAAAACTAACCAACATATTCGATTCGGATTTGATGAAAGCTATGAAATCTCCGATCAAGTGTAAAAGCGGCACTTCTTACAGGCTTTCCCTTTGCATGGACACGTACAACAGCTTTGAAATTAAAGCTGTGGAATTTGGACTTGTTGACGTGGCAATTGTCTACCGCTTTTTCCTGGAATTTTATTTTCTCAACGATTCTACTCCGTACATCTGCGTGGATACTTACTTTGCGGAAAACAGGAAAACGGAAAAACAGATAAAAATTAGGACCATTCACGCCACAATACAAACTTTGATGATACAGTTGAATTTATATTCATCTTTATCGATCCCAGTTTTGTCTAATATATTGGATTCAATTGACTGGGTAGAGGCGCCCAACGCTTGTGAAACTTTACTTAAGGTATTTTTATAACGGCACAATAAATATTAATTTATTGATATGATTTTTAATTACTTGCAGATTATACTTATGATCATTCCTCGGTTACAAAACTCAGAACCCTTGCGGTCTGTTTACAAACAGCTATTAAAGTTGAAGCACTCAAACTCAGTCGATATGTCCGTGCTGAAGAAAGTTCTTAACTTCCCTTAATTAAAAAAAATTTTAATTTAAGAAAATTTAATTTTAAACGAAGGAACTTTACAAGGAAACAACTATAATTTTTTAAATTGCCGACAGCAACTGGATTCTTGGATATTTGTTTTGATAAACATTTGATTTTGAACGAACCAAACTTTGGCATACATTTTTGACACAACTTATATTAAAAGATTTACCAAAGATAATTTTTGTTTTTCTTTTTAAAAATACAAGAACTGTGGATCGATGGAAAAAACCTTTTCAGACTTATAGGATAAGATCTACGCACTCATAGCTTAAAGCTATAAAAGCTCCTTCGAGGAACTTGTGGTTACTTTGATTAAGATACAAAAATAGATTACTCATACTAGAAGACAGTCAGTAGTGAATAATATATTGAGAAGTTCAGTGACCATAAGTTAGGCCGCAGGATAATAACATTATAATTCGTATAATATATAAAGAAATAACCTGTACTTTTCGATAGATTATCCGTTTAAAGTTTAAAAAGGTTATCGAGTGAACCGAACCCTCCTACATCACATGCCAAAAACCCATCCCCACACAGCAACAGTTTAACAATGCCGACATTGAATTCCCATGGCAACTGAGGAAATTCCGCCGTTGTTGTTTATTTTGGATACAAATTCTAACCAATGTCATCAGCTAAACACAACAAAAATTTACAATTTAAAAAGAAAATATATTAAGGGGAAAGCAAAGTACCCTTGTGAAAATGTGTCACCTAACTACATCACTTTTTTACACATAATTTCGGCAAGCGGTAGACTTTTACCCAATAAATATTATAATTTTTTAAAGCCCACGAAAACGTAACAGTGAGAAAAGTGAGCGCAATGCCGACGATCCCAAAGAGGGAATACAACAAGCCCAATGGCGGGGGCAAAAGTTCGGGAATGGATTTCCTTAGTTCCGGAATCAAGGGAACCGAGGTCACCGAGATGCAGCTCAAATGGCACGAGAATCCTTGCCCGGCGCCACCATGCAAACAGGCCTTTTGGTGGGCCAGCCATCCCAAGCCGATCAAAATCAAAGGTTGCCCCAAGTGAGTAGCAAACAGAACAGAAAACTCCCAAAGAATTTTCTATACATACCCTGTAAATCTGGTATGGTAATTTTGGGGTATATTGAACGCTTACAAGATGTAATAAACATATTTATTTAATGTCGAGGCAGATAATTAAGGTTTAAGATATGTTACATACATATATAAAATGTTAATACTTTATCAATATTGAAATATATTTCTTATATTTTACTCGGTACTTTAGTACGATCTCTATGTCATTTAATAGGTACAACATAATAATCCGTAATATTACAAATGTATTAAAATATTACAAAGCTGTTGCACAAGGCCATAAAAAGACAACGAAAATTAAAGATTACTTTATAAATATAATATAAATGATGGGTAACTTATAGTTGCAAGATGGAACTTTAATCATAGTGACTTAACGCCTTGGGAAAGAGCTTTCCTATATGTCTCCCCACTGGGGTCAATGGAATCCGAGTCCAAAAACGAAAGTCATAAATTGCGTAAATAAATTATTAAACGCCGTGGCCGTGTTCGGTTGATGGTCAATACAAAGGACCAACTAAAGGACACGCAAACTCGGTACCATTTTGAATAGAAACATTCGTGTCCCGAAAGGAAACAATGGTTGGGTGAACCGAGGGGGGAAATTATGAGGAGTGTGCAAGTCGTTGAGTGCTTAAAACTAGAAACTGACGCACTATCATAAAAATATTCATGCCTATATATCTGGCTAAAGATAATGACAGGGGCTGAACTTGGGTCGGATTAAGGTCAAACTACGAATAAGGATGATCCCAAAATATGATAAATAGGAAAAACTTATTCGGATTATCTGATTGTTATTTGCTTACCTTTGAAAGTAGTTTGATATGTATCCAATTCAAGATAATTATAGATAATTATATATTTTTTTAGGGCTTCTCCTGAAAGGTCTAAGGTCATAAAACGATTCCAACCATATCAAAAAATGAATGAGAAACGAATGCTTTCAGATTAAGTAGCCATTCTTCAATCATATAGAGGAGCTGTTAGACTTTTGATGTATTCCTCCTAAACCCAGTAACAGTAATCTCCCATCTACTCACTGACCTTTCCTTATTGCTACTCCTACAAAAGCACCTCCTTTGAGTGCCAAGAAATCCACTTAATTATGCTCAGTTGACTGTTGAATTCCGCTTATCAGGCAGTCCAAACTATTGACCTTGGCCATTGACATTAGTCGGAAGGTGGTGTTCCAAGTAATAGAACCACCCACCTCCGATTTCAATGTCAGCCAGCGAAATGCGTGAAGTCATCTCCAACAATGTGACAGGAAATGTGGACACCATCGAATAAAATTCAAGGTCCTCCAAAGGGGCAAGACCTTTAATTGGAGACCCAACGACTTGGGTGGAAAAAAAGCTCTTATGCAAAGTAGAATTCCTGGGAACGCGGATTTGGCCATACCAACGCGACCGACTGTTAACAGTTCGCATTATTATTGCAACACCTGGCCATCAGGTGCCCTAAACCCCAAGACACACTTAGAGAAATTAGGTTGAATTCTTCTGTGGAGGCAATAAAAAATATAGATGTTTAAAGAAAATATTTTTAACATTTACATTTTGAAAATATTTATGATCTACATAGTATTTTTTTAAGCAATGGATTTACGGTTTTAAAAATTATTTCACCAAATTTTTTAACTTCATACTTTTAGACACCTTTTTATGTATTTAATTTAAGTTTATGAATCGGGTAGATATTGTGAGTTCTTTGAATTCTAAGATAATATACAATGAAAATATTTCCTAAATTACCTACTAGTTACGAAACCTTTGCTTTTGGAAAATATTTATAAAATAAAGTCAAGGGTAAAGTAAAGTAAATGGTAATTTTCCCAGAAGTAATTTCGAACATTTTTCCGACTGCACGACCGACCGCTGACCAAGGGCCGAACCTAAAGTCGAAGCCGGCGGGTCCGAGCGCGAGTCCTGCGAGTCCTTTGGTCATTTGGCGTTTGCCATTCGAGCCGTGCGGTACGTGGTGTTCCGCGGTGAAATCAACCAAACAAAGCAACACCTGAGCGAACCACAAAAAAGTATAGGAAAAATATTGATTAACTTTTTCGGTGTGCGGCGGCGGGTGAGAGAACCGTGTGGTGGCTATTTATACACTCAAAAAAAAATTTTAGAAAATCGCCTATGGATTTGCTTTACTGGCGATTTTTTTCTATATTTCTGGAATATTTCTTGAATTTAATGAATTTTGATTAATTGGAAGAAAATTTTCTTTACCAGTAGAAAATTTTTTTATTTTAAAGAAAAAAATCGCCAGTGAAGCAAATCCATAGGCGATTTTCTAAAATTCAGGGCGATTCATTTTCTGAGTGTAATGAACGAAGTGACCGGTGGCCGGGAGCAGGGATAACCGAGGAGGAGGCGGAGACGACCATGCCAGAGACGACGACGAATCAGCAGCAGCAACAGCACCCAGCACTTACACATCCTACGGAACGCAAGATCTCGGATCCAGAAACAGAACACTTCCCCGAACCCAACAATAGACCGGATCGCGTGCAGAACTTCTCCTTCGCCAGCAGCTATCCCTACGCACCAGGACGAGTGTCCTCCAACTTGAATTCTATCCAGAACTCCAGCTATAACTCGAACTACAACTCATCCGGATTCAACGTCCAGCGCTATCAGAGTCCCTACAATTTCCAGCACGTGGTGACCAACGCATTTTCGGTGCTGCGCCATCAGCCCTCCGAGGTGGAGCAGGAGCTCGATTCGTATCCAACTATCCAGCGACCACAACAGGCCATCGTGCGTCCCATACGGCGTGAGGATACGGATCACCAGGATGGCCATGTAGCGGACTCCACTGGGAATCCCACCCAGAGATCCTTCTTTTCGCGCAGCAACCAGGAGGTGCGCAGCTTTGCCGATGAGCTGAGCCAGAAGTTGCGCTTCCTGGCGCCCGAGGAGCAGAACTACGGCGGTCGGCACAGTGCCAACAGTTCGGGAGCCTGGATGGATCCATCGATGGCTCAGAGGCCGCGCTTCGAGACCACAGTGCCACAGGGCATCTTCCTGCCGCCGCCGCATGAGGTCCAGATGATACCGGCCACCATGCTGAGGCGGCATGTCTACGCCTACTCCTCGTATCCCATGATCCTACAAAGCTACTACGGCAAGGATCCCGGGAGTGAGCACAAGGAGCAGAAGGTGACCGCCACCCGGCTAAATGGAGTGCGTGCCACGGCGGCAGTGGCGGCGGCCACAGCTGCGGCCTCCAAAGCCTCCCAATCCTCCCACAACCACGATTCGCAGTCCCTCGCCGGCGGTCTACACATCACCAAGGCCCAGTTCCAACAGCAATTGCAGCAGCGTCGCACCAACAACGACAAGAGGTAATAAAAAAAGAACCAACCAACCCCCCAAAGTGGTATGGGGTTCGAACTTCGAACTAAAAAAGAAAAGAAGGTGGGAAGGTCCAACAACTGACCAAGGCAAAGTGGGCCAAAATATATTACCATAAATTCAAATGAGTAATATACAGAGCCGAGCTGAAATGGAAATGGAACCAGAACTAGAAAACTCCCCTTTTGAGACCCAACAACTTGGCTTACTACCTTTATCGATTGACACCTAAACATTTCAATTACAAATCTGTCGTTGCTTTAAAGCGCCGGAAGGAGTTAATATTTAATTAGAATTTTAATACGACCTTCCATCTTCTTAGGAATTCTTGGGAAAGCCCAAGGGTATTATTAGAGAAAATGTATTTTATTTTCAAATGAAATCATAAACATGTTTTGTGTGCCATATAAAGAATTCAAAGCATCGTGAAAAAATCCTGGAAACATTACTATCTATAAAGTTGTAAGAATTAAACCCTTTTTACATTTTTTAAACAAGTGTTAGATAAATATGTATATATAAAGGGACAGTCAAAGAAGATATATTCTTCCTCACTATCAAAGTTTTTCCGATCGTTTTACATTTATTTTTTCCCCCACTTCTACCCTAGTATTGACTCTTCAACAATTCAATTAGAAATGCTTTTCCAATAACATTCGGACATTGTAAATTCCCTGAACGGTTTGACTAATTTATTTAGCGCATTCTCGAATGGGGAACTCGTTTGCCTTGCATAAAAGAACATGCGAACCGACGGACAAAGGACCCTCGAATGTGTCGTGCCAGCGGAGAATATCCTATATTCCCAGCTCTGGGCTTAAATAATTTAAATCAAGATTTCGTAAACAACAACAATAGGTAAAAAACGGCGAAAAATAGTGCCACAAATGGAGGGAAATTAAGTTCAATTACCACACCAAAGGAGCCAGAAGGACACCTATGGAGTAACAACAAAAACAAAAACGGGTCCTGGCGGGTGTCTCCCTTAAATGGATGTTATTCTGGTAAATGGGCTTACCTTTTTTGGGTTACAGAATATTATGAAATATCATTCAAACGTTGATATAAGCAGGCCATAGAAGAGTTGACTGGAGGCAAGTTATTTGTTGAAACTCGTTTGAGGAAAATCCACATAGATTAAAAACTATGTATTTAAAAAAGTTTTTTATTTAATTCTTCTGAAATTTCTTTTGATGCATTATTATAAAAGTACCAAGGGATCTGTTAGCCATGTGCATATCATAATTATTATTAATTACTTTACTTTAAAATATTTATTGAAGCTTAAAAAAATATTTGTAATTGAAAATTTTGGAAATTCAATCATTTTTTCCTTGAAAACACAAACGACATTGTGAAAATAACAATAATATGGATATTTTTCAGATTCTTATATATTCAAAAAATTTGAAAACTATAAAATTAGACTGTTAAGTATTCCAGACAATTTCCAAAAGCCAATACAAAATGATTTTAGAAATTATAAAAAAAAGTATTCATAAAATCATCTTTCTGTGCAGGTTAAATCCCAAGTAATAGGCATAAGGAAGCCGGACCAAAGGTTCCTCGCTCCATTAGCTGATTTCTTTGGTCTTCAGACCCAGACCCAGAGAAATGTTGTTAGACATTCGCCAGCAACTTCAATGTGACTTCCTGTTTGTGGGCCAAAAGTAGCTGAAAATTTGCATAGGTCACGAGTTCAGGTGCCAAGTTCCTCGGTCGGTAATAGTGCAATGTCTGCCAATGCATATGTATACATATGCGGTAAAAAATGTTTGTTTCCCCATTTACTTGCCCGGGGGCCATACATATAAATTAGCAAGTCATAAATTACCCACCAACAGCGGACGACTGCGAGTCCAGTCTAACTTTAAAGCTTTAAGTACAAATCGGTGGGCTCCCATCTGACCCAAAAGTGTACTGAACTTTGGGGAAATTGATTCGAATCGGAGATGACTTGACAAGCGGCCTGCGAGGGCGTTGAGAAATGCACAAATTTGATGTTTATCGCCTTGATAGTGCAACAGATTTGGGACTTGAAAGAATAATACAAGTGCACTGAAAACCAAAATACAAATATTTTAACCGTTGTTACTCCATTAAAAATAAATATTATAATATTGAGTATATAATTCCAACAAATATCTAGATATATAGGTGTGATCCTTATGAAGATTTTTCCTTTTTAATAATGAGATATTTTTATTTTATACATTTAATTAAAAGAGTTTCAATTCTGAATTTTGTAATACTTTTAATCCTTAAGAACAATTCATATTTTATGAAATTGTAATCTCAATGCCTTTAATGGCGTATCCTAATAACCTTATTAATTTAAAATATCTTAATTTTAAGTACTTAGCATAAAAACATTTTAAAATGCATCTTTAAATATGATGCCATTGTTTTTCTGAATGTGAAGTTTGTTGAACTGGGTCGAGGTTTACTAATTGATGGCTCTCACCTGCCACACCTCCTTGCTGTGTTTTCCATTGGCTCCTTTTCCTCTTGCAGACCCATCGTCCCGCCGCCGGAGCCCTACAAGAACGTCATGTACGACCGTCGCGTCATAAAGGGCAGCAACTTCGGCAACTCCTCGCTGGTGGTGAGTAGTCCCACTGGCTCAATTGCTCAGCTCTCTGCCAGCCCTGACCCGCGACTAATCCACTTTTCATTTTCCGCTCCAGACGGATGTGGACCCCTTCGACAAGGCCGCCGAATTGAGGCGCCGCAATATGTTGCGCAAACGGACGATGCAGTGCCGCAATCAGCGAAACGTCCTGGGAACTCCGCCGCCCGTTAAGGGACGCAAACACGAGACCATTCAGACGGAAAAATATCTGGAGAAGTTGGTGCAGCGACCGCCGGAATTCTCCATCGACACGCAGACGGATCTGTTTCTGGAGAAGCCGCCAACGCCTCCGTTCATCCCGGCCAAGGTGGGCGTGGATGTGGGCACCGAAATCGGCGACGGCGAACTCTTCCACTTCGATGCCGAAGCGCAGCCCATTATCGATGTCCTGGTGGACGCGTGCATCGAGCAGAGCATGCTGGAGGTGGCCCACGAGATGGAACTGGCTAGTCTGCGGCGCAAACAGGAAGAGTAAGTAGTCCAGTGATCTAAAAGAAATTAACTTAATTATTATGGGTTCAGAAATATTTGGAACTAAATTTAATATTATTAAGACCCCTCAGGGATCTTACCATGCCGCGAATTCTTAAGTTTGTTCGATCTTTTCTTAATATGATAATCATAAATGTAAGAAGCTTTATTAGGAAAATATGTCTGATTTTTTGTGTTTATCACAAGATATTGTATTTAATAATTTACTTTAATTTAAAATTTTTAATAGAAAGTTAAATTTTTTAAAATACTATGGTGGTATTTTTTTCCAAAATATATTAACTTAATTGATTAAATCTTAATTGCTTTAAAATTGCTTGAATTCTTCAGAATTCTTCTTCTTTTACAAACTCATTTTCATTTAATTTTCCTATATTATTTTGTATTTTTGTTCTGTACGATTAATACTATTCTTAAGAATTTAAACATCTAGTTCCAAATTAGTCTTAAAAATCGGAAAACTGATCATATCACATGAATTTTAGATCGATTTGTTCCTATCTGTAACTCTGTTAAGATTCCCAAGACCCCTAAATAATTGATTTTTTATGGTAACCCACAGATTCCTGGCCCAGAGGGAGGCGGAACTGGCGGAGCTGCGTCGCCTGGAGGCGGAGGAGATGCGTTTGCAGGCGGAGAAGGAGCGCCGCCTGCGCCAGGATGCGATTGCCAAGGAGCTGGACGCCGAGATGCAGAAGAGCGTGACGGCGGCCAAGTTGCTCCAGGGACACATCGCCAGTCTGGTGCCCGAGGTCCTGGAGAACATTGAGCCGGCCAGCGATGCGGTGAAGAAGGAGCAGCTGATGAAGAGCATCTGCCCGTGGCTGTCCGCCGAGGTGGCCGAGGAAGTGGGTCACATTGTGGACTCACGTGAGATCCTCACCGCGATCATTCAGGAGATTATCAAGCAGCGGGCCGAGATCTACGCCGGCTACAAGGATCCCGAATCGGAGCCATCCGCTCCGGATGCGGGTATTTGCGAGGAAGAGGGCTGCGCCATCGATGAGATGGAGGCGTGTCCCTGCGAAACGGGAACGGAGGAGGATTGCCCCGAGCCGCCGCCACCGCCTCCTCATCTCTAAATGATTTCGTTAGAGTTTAGTTAATATTTCGAGTCCTTCAAAATGGCCTTTCCTGACCACACAGAGAAACACACCGCACACACACCTTACACACCTGCGAATGTACCGCTATGAAATCAAGGATGGCTGCAACTTTGTTTTTGTGTCTGGCGAAGGACTCGATTCGCCGCAGGACCCGCAATCGGGCGCCAAACACAACTGCACAGAGGCGGCGCAGATGCGAAATGGAATCGAATGGCAAATTGTAAACTGGATAATTGTTAAAGGTTTTTGTGTTACCTAAAAATTCAACGAATAAAGCTCGACAAAAGAAATACCCTAATGTTTTAGAGAATTTTAAAAGAGGCAGTATATTTCGGTATATTTATCATTGATCGATATCTTTTTCAGAGATCGACTTTAGAGGTGGAGATGTTTAAAAAAAACATCGGTAAAACATCGATGTATTGAAACAAATTTATTCTTTTGTTTCAAAATAAATTAGTAGAATAATTTCATTTTCGTATTAAAGCAAAAAACCAAAAGCTTTATTTGGCAAACAAAAATTTTAAAATTGATCATTAATATTAACATTATTATTATTTATTTTCTCCTACGCCACCTGTTGAATATCTAAAAATTGTTATGGTCTGCCAGAAATAAAGAAAATAAGCATTAACAAAATCAAAACATACCAAACGACCGCGTACCTGGGTTAGAGAGGAGCAACAGATGCCGATACTAGGGATGGCCTGGGAATGGAGAACTGGTTCCGGAGTCGTGCTGGTTCGTGGCGGAACTAGTAGAATAGTGGGCTTAAGCTAGGTTTAAATTTCGGAAAACTCTCTCTCGAAAATGGAATTGAGCCGACTTACAAGAAGGGCAACTAAAGGGCAAATGAGACCCATCTAGAAGCGGAGACAGAGTAGTCGTGCCTGTGGGAAAAAAAATTCCAATCTTCCGGCGCCAAATTCAAAGTCTGGGAGTCTGCGAGGAAAAGGAATTAAACTTGGAGGAAACCATAGGAAAATTGATTATCGCCGCCCACATCTGGGTGGTGCCAGGTTTTTTATTTTAAGTTTAGTGTTAAAGTTAATAAAACCATATAATAATCAACAATAACCACAAACCACAAACTACAAACTACAAACTACGAATCTGCTTCTACTAAATTAAAATATTAATGTAACCCTATATATATATATATTATTTATTCATTTATTTATACGTATAACTATTTATTCATGTGTGATGTAATCGTCCCTGTGGTACCCAGGTTAGGGAATTGTTAAGAAATGAATGTTATTTATATGAACTTTGTGAATTAAAGTGGAAAAGAAAAATGAGCGAGTAGAGAGTTAAAAATGGGGTGAGGTGACGCGTAAAAGACCCAGTATCCAGTGTCGGGGAGTTGATTGAAAGGTACATCAGCTCAAGGATGGGAGGGTGTATTCCGCGGCCATTAACAGCAGGTCCGCAGTCCTTGTTTCCATTCATTTTTAAAGTGTCATCAAGTCTGAATAAAATAAATAATACTGTGTGCCGACAAATCCAACCATCGTGGTCATACTCACGCTTGAGATATCCGATTGCTAGCCGGAATCCGATGGTTGGATCACCAAAATAAGTCGAGACATAACAGAGTGGCGCCCAAAGAAAACATAATAAAAAGACAGAAAAAAAAGAAGAAAGAGAATCTCCGGCTGGTCCTCGACAACTAGTGGTGGTCCTACATAATTGCTACCAAGAGCAAATCGTAGAAGTACCACTAAGAGGCGAGAGACGCAGCCACGTAGGATGATCGCTGAGATGCCCACGACCGGGACCCCGACAGGAGGCAGAAATATCCTGGTTCGGCGCGGCCCATCAAGGGCGTCGGAAGAAGAAGTCTATGAACACCTATAAAGACGGCGAAAAGTCAGAATCAACCAAAAGGAGATCAGGTTCGGTAGCTTACAACATCCAGCGGTCGTGGTCCTTGTGGAAAAGGTTGCGGAAAGCAACACACAGGTAGTCCGGCCAAAGAAGGTGAAAGCTGCTGAAAAGAAACAAGAAGGATTTGGAATATGAAAGTACAGTGGGCTGGGTAAAATATTCGTCACTCACCCTACCTAGCAGACAAAAGAGAAAAACAGAAAAGTTAAGAAAAAGAAGGGAAGAAAAGATATGTCAGAAAGCGAAAGAAACAGGCAGACATTCAATAGAAAAATTAGAAGAAGTTTAGAGTTTTTTTTGAACCGCGGATCCGAAATAATGACTCCGCCAGCTACACGTTCCCAAGCCAATCAGAAAGTGAACCGAGACATAAAGGATATCACTCCTCCCCAGGGGTTTATGATGGATGGTAGCGCAGCCTTTGAGATCAGTGACCAGCAGGATATGACGGGAGCAGTGGGGGGCGTGGAAGCACATGTTAGCGACGGAGTTCCCCGCGGCGACCAACACAATCTCACTAGCGATGAGGAAGGGAAGAGTCCTGTGCATTTAGGTAAAGAAATAGAGTCAGCCATTAATTTAGCTCTATTACAAGCTCATGAAACTTACCGTAAAGCGGCGTCCATTGAGGTCTCTGCTTTCCAGAAGCAAATGCAACAGGAGATGATGAATTTCATGAAGGAAATCAATCAGATCGTCCGCCCTACAGGGAAGGCACAGGCAGACACTCAGGAGCCTCCTCCTAGACCATCGATGGAAGCAGCCAGGCCTAATCCAGCGCAGCAGCGAGCTGATGGCAGACTCTGGGAAGAGCAACAGAGGGTATGGGCGGGTTGGCATCAGTATAGCCAACCACCGCCTTTGTTCAGGCCAGGAGTTTCAGCTGCCGGAAGTTTGAATGGGAATCCAAGTGGCGGGCATAGGGATTACAAACCCGAGATGAGCCATCCCAGGAAGTGGGGTATATCCTTCGATGGCGGACCTAGGGGAATGCCAATTGGTGAATTTATATTCCGGATAGAGCATCTACAGATGGCTTACCAAGTCACGTGGGAAGAGGTCCTTCGATCGTTTCACTGCCTAGTAGATGGTCAAGCCAAGGAGTGGTTTTGGATGCACGTACGCACAACGGGATTGAGGGATTGGCCAAATCTAAAAAACGCGCTGCAACAACGTTTCCAAACGCTGCGTTCGAACTTCGAGCGTGAGCGAGAACTACGCGAGCGAAAGCAACGACCAGGAGAGAGCGTGGATGAATATCTGCAGGCGATGCTGAGCCTCCGATCCCAGTTGGACATCAACATGTCCGACCACGACCTAATAAGGACAATTAAAGTAAACATCAGAGACGGGATATCGAGGATAATATATCCGATGTGGTTAACTAACCTGGAACAGCTGAGGGAGGAATGCCACGAAGCCGAGAGGGTTTTAGCCAATCGCTGGTCGCGCACATCCGGGATGCAAGAGCACCAGAGACCACCGAGGGAGAAGCACCAGGTTCACGAGGCGTACGTACCCCAGGAGCCAGACGAGGACTCCGAGTTCGTAGAGGCCATTTCCCGGGGCAGAGAAGGCGGAGCGCAAAGTACGTTGGTCTGCTACAATTGCTCTATGCCGGGACACACGTATTACACGTGCGACTCGGAGGTCCTGAATAAGTTCTGCTACAGATGCGGCCGACAGGGAGTTCGTTTTACTCGGTGTCCGAAATGTCAGGCGGGAAACGCGAGATGGAGCTTGACGCAACCGGAGGAGTCCCGCTCCCATCCCAAGACGACAAATTAACTGCCTCCGAGGATCTGAAAGATATGTTAAAAGATAAATATAAGTCAGTGTTTAAGAAGATATTAATAAATAAAAGTATAAACAAGGTAAATATAGGAACAAAATACGTGGCCAGGCCTATGGAAGAGAGGGAACGCGACTATCAGCAGGCAAGGGAAAGGATATTTGGAGAACCAAGGGGAGATAGCCATTCCCGCAAGTCGCCGAGGATAATCCGAGCACGGAGGCGTTACCAGCAACGAAAACAGGAACGAAGAGAGGTCTGCACAGCTATAATATCAGCAGCTACGACGGAGAACCGAGCGTTTGCCGAGGTATTGGTTGCAAATCACCCAATGCAGGGGCTGCTTGACACGGGAGCATCGAAGAGCATCCTAGGAGACGGGTGTATGGACCTGGTAAAGCGGCTGAAACTAGAAGTTTTGAAAGTAAGATCTACAGTACAGACAGCAGGCGGTGCAACTCACCGGATAGCGGGTCGCATAGAGGTGGACGTTGGCTATAAACAGGAAACTCACCACATATCATTGCTCCTATGTCCCTCACTGCGGCAAAAACTATATTTGGGTATAGACTTTTGGCGGAAATTTTCATTAGCTCCGGACGTCGTAGGAATAGGTGAATTGTCGTCGATTGAGAATGAGTTCCATGTTACGAGCGAACCGGTAGAACCACACATCCTGTCTGAGGAAGAGAAAACACAGTTGGAGTTAGTGCAGGATAAGTTTCTAACTTACGAAAAACACGGCATGGGACTGACGGAATTGGAAACGCATTCCATACAACTGGAGGCAGGAACAGTCCCAGTAAAGGAAAGGTTCTATCCGGTGTCACCAAAAGTCCAGGAATTGCTCTATGCGGAAGTAGACGAAATGTTGCGATTAGGTGTAATCGAGACTAGTGAAAGCCCTTGGAACAATAGAGTTACTCTGGTCCAAAAACCTGGGAAAAACCGGTTATGCTTAGATGCGAGGAAACTCAATAAGGTAACGATCAAGGATGCTTACCCATTGCAGAATATAGAGTCGATTCTGAGCCGTGTGGATGAAACCATTTACATTAGCAGTGTGGATTTAAAGCATGCGTTCTGGCAAATTGAGCTGGACCAAAAAAGTAGGGAGTACACCGCATTCACCATCCCGGGAAGGCCGTTGTATCAATTTCGGAGGATGCCGTTTGGTTTATGTAACGCTGCTCAACGGCTATGTCGACTCATGGACCGGGTCATCCCGCAGAAGCTCAGGAGCAACGTCTTTGTGTACCTAGACGATCTGTTGATTATTTCGAAAACGTTCAAGGATCATATGCGGATACTCACCGAGGTTGCCAAGAGCTTACAAAACGCCAACCTCACGATCGGGCTACACAAATCCAAGTTCTGCTTCCGATTCCTGAAGTATCTGGGTTTTGTAATCGGAGAGGGCTCCTTGAGGACGGATCCAGGGAAGATTCAGGCAATAGCCAAGATCCCAGTACCAAAGAATGTGAGACAGTTGAGGAGTTTCCTAGGAACAGCTGGATGGTACAGGCGGTTCATTCGAGGTTTTTCAGATGTATCGGCGCCTCTGACGGACTGTTTGAAGTCAAGGACCAAGTTCAAGTGGACACCTGC